AAAAAATCACTTTTCACAAAACCACTTCTCATAAAACCAACTAACTTCACATAAGGGCTTATTTTGATAGTAAAAGTAAATTGACTTCTTTTTCAACTTAACCTCACACGCTTTTAGAGAGGGAGGAACTTAAATGCTATGGAGGCTTTTGTTTACCGAGGGTTCAAAAGATTGGTTTTGCATCATATTAAAAGGATTCCTTGGTTCGTTGTACAATCATCAAAAGAAGTATCATCATATTGCGCTCTCTCATTTTCTTCGATGGGGAGATGGTCTCTATCCCATTGTCCTTAACCGATTTTAACTAAACCCTTTAATTCCCTCCATATAATTTCTTTTTTCGGGGGCTAGAGGGCAGTTGTACTATCTGTTTTCATCATGTTGAATGGAATTGTATGAAAATATCAATACAATGTTTATTCAGGAGAATAGAGATTCGAAAGCAAAAGAAAAGGAAGAATTTAGAACTCAAGGGAGGAAAAATGGATCTGCTGAAATGCTTTGGAAGGCTTTCCAGTTTGCATTCCGAGTTTATACCTTTGCTGGTGGACAGGACGATCGCGCTGATAAGCTGGCAAAAGAACTTGCCCACGAAATCGAGACCGATTCTCATCAATAATCATACATTAAATATTCTTGACGACTATTATCGGGTAGATAAGGGCCGTTATCTTCGTATTTCAGTTTTGAGTTTTGAATTCATTTTAAGTTTTGTGTTTTGAGATTCCTGAAAACGCGTTCTTTTTGTCATTTTTAAAAATTGTTTTCAAAAATTAAAAAATGAAGTTTTGACTTGATTTTAACTGAAAATAACAAAAACGAGTATTTTGGCGTTTTCCATTTTCTTTGTAAATTTAAACTCGTTTTTGGAAATTTGTTTCTGAAAATAGGTAAATAAACATGTTTTCAGTGTTTTCGAAAATTGAAAATTGAAAATAGCCTGAAAACAGACCCTAATCTTTCCAGCTACATTAAAAAAAATAAAAAATCAGAGAAATGTATTGGCCAAAGCATTTTTTGTAAGAACCATGTAAATTTATTATAAATGTAACTATGTTTCTTTAATTTTTAAATTATTTTATTCATATTTTCTTATGCAGCACTTTGCTTTGCCAGTGTATTGTATTGTTTCAAGCAATTAAATTTGTAGACTGTTGTTTGTCTAATCCATTATCTCTGTTAGACATTGTATGCCGGGAAACTAAATATTTGTATATTTGTATTTAATTTTACCCTTTAAAAACCAGACTACCTTGCAATTTTGCATGGTAAAATTACTACGTGCTTAAATTTGATAAATTCCTGAATAGAATTGAACGTAATATGTACTTATCTAGTCCAACATACTTAATTTTGCTGCTGTAAATAGATTGCATGAAGCGTGGCATAGTAATATTCAATTTTGCTATTTGAAAAGATTTTGGAAATCATTTTTTTTTACTTATCCATTTGCATAAACTACCTTGTGTTAATTCATCTGCAAGTTACTTAATTTTCTCTCTTCTCTCTCTATCTTCTTTCCTCTCTCTAGCCGTCGCTGGAAAGCGTTGCTACCACCACCGCTGACATCACACTCAACCATCACCACACCCACCAAAAAAATCCCCAAACCCGCAGCCGTAGCCACCGCCATCACCACCACCAATTCACCAACTTCACCTCAACCATCAACACCCACCAACGGATCAAGAGAAATAGAGATGGTGACAAAGAAAAGAGATCGTCGTCATACACGAAGTAGCGGCACCGTGCGCATCATCGTCGCACACGATGTAGCGATGATGGGGAACACAGCGACAATGCTGCGATTGTGGCCAATCGGCGGTTGTGCATGCTCGGCCGACTGCGCCTGTCATTGTTCGACGACGTTGCTCTGTCGCCGGTGGAAGTGCGAAGTGAAATGAAGCAGCCACTGGAGATGCGAAGTGAAATGAAGCAGCTTGGTGGATTTGATAAAAAAAAAATTTAAAACAAGTATAATAACTATGTCAAATGAGCAGCTACGGGTGGTTTTGGGTTGCTGTGGTGTGTGGTTGTGATTTTGTGCAGTCCGTTGAGGTGATGGTGGTCGAGGTGGGAATGGGATGGAGTGTTTGTGGTCAATTATTTGGTAGATTGTGACCAACAAATTGTTTAATTTGTGACCAATAAGTAATATGTGATCTAAAAAATGTGATTGTGACTCGCAACTGATTAAGTTGTGACCAAGAAATTACTTGTGACCAATTAATTTGATAATTTGTGATCGTTACATAAGCTGTGAATTATAAAATTTGTGATTTTGTGAATTGTGATATAAATTTTTTATTTGTGATCGAAAAATAACTTGCGACCTATAAAATTTTGATATGTGGCCCAAAAATAAAGTGACAAAGTTTTTGATATGTGACCAAGAAATAATTTATGACCAATTAATTCTGTAATTTTCTACCAAATTATATAGAATTATGACATTAATATATTTAATTAATAAAATATATTATTAATTATTTTTTTCATATAAAATATAACTAATATCTGATTTTTGAAATTTTAAATATTGTTTCTTAATTTTGAAATAGGTTATACTTCATCTCCTATATATGAAATTTTCCATTTGCTTATTATATGCCCAAAGAATTTCAAAAAATGACTGGTTGGATCAGGTTATAAACGGGTGGGTTAGGGTGGTCCTACCCTTCTTGACACGGAATGACACCCCTACCCATAAGAATCATGTTATATATACATACAACATGAATGTTCTCTTGCCCCCAGTGGGCAGGAGAACAATATGCCCACTGCTGATGTGGCACGCCACATCAGCAGTTGGCTAAATTAAAATAAATGGTTAATTTGACTTTTTCTCTCTCCAATATCAATTCAAATTGCTTAAATCGTCACTTCACTTCCCAGCTTTTCAACCTTTTCAACTTTGATATTTGCCACCCCACCCCACCCCACCTAGTAATTTCAATCCCATATCGTCCCAACCACCCAAATCTCACAATTAATATGTATAATATTTGTCAACTCATTCACTTATTACAATTCCATTCACTTGGCAAAAGTTTCTCACGTCTCAAATATTTTGACATCCAATTTCTCTGGTTCTCAAGTCTCAAACATTTCGAAGGATTTCTAGTCTTTGAGGTG